ACACCACTGTGACCCCGAGACACCCGCCGTGACCCTGAGACACCACTGTGACCCCGAGACACCCGCCGTGACCCCGCAGAACTGCCCTTAGACCGCGGGCAGGCATGGTCTTGGCCTCTCCTGTCACCACCGGCAAGAAGCTGATGGACAAGGCGGGCCTGCTCCACCCAGAAACCGCACACCTGTCCTGCGCGTCAGGGCTGGGCCGCACTGGAGGGCCTGGTCCACTCAGTTCCGGAGAAAGGAAGTCGTCAGGGCTGGGCCGGCTCAGTGGTTGAACCAGGAGGTCACCGTTTAATTCTGGTCAGGGCACAGGCCCGGGTTGCCAGCTTGATCCCCAGTGGGGGGCGTGCAGGAGGCGGCCAATCAATGATTCTCTCATCATTGATGTTTCCATCTCTCTCTCCCTCTCCCTTCCTCTCTGAAATCAATAAAAATATATTAAAATAAATAAATAAAACCACCGTACCCAGCTTACAATGACTCAGCAAATAATAACAATGGGCGATACTAGAAATGGTTAGCATTTATGGAGCGCTTACTACCCATAAGGCACTTGTCTAAGCGCTTTGTAGGACTGACTCTTGGACTCCATGGCCATTGTTTTATTTTCCCCGTTTTACAGATGAAGAAACTGCGGCATAGCAGGTTAGGTAGCTTGCTTATGGTCACACAGCAAGTCTGAGCCAGACTCAAACACAGGCAGCCTGACTGCAAACCTGTACACGCATGTAGCATGAGCTCAGTGTTTGGGGGATGAGTGAGGGATGGATGGGTGGATGGAAGGGAGGGAGGGAGTTAAGGAGGGAGGGAAAAGGAGATGGGAGGGTGGATGGATGGATGGATGGATGAATGAATGGTTGGTTGGTTGGATGGTAGATGGCTGGTTGGATGGATAAATGATGAATGGTTGGTTGGATGGATGGTAGGTGGATGGTTGGATGCATGGATAAATGATGGATGGATGGTTAGATGGATGAATGGTTGGTTGGATGGATGGTCGGTGGATGGTTAGATGGATGGATGGATGATGGGTGGATGGTAGGTGGGTGGTTGGATAAATGACAGGTGGTTGCTGGGTGAAAATAAAGAACAGAGAGGGTGCCTGTGGGTCGAATCCAGCCTGGCCCCGGCATCCCTGAGCAGCAGCACTGAGGGGCACAGATGCGGCCGGGCTGGACCAGAGCTGCACCCAGAGCTGCAGGGCACCTGTGTGGTGGGGGCAGGCGCTGCCGTTACCGTTACAGTCGGGCCAGGGAGGCCATGACCTCTGGAAAGAGGTGTTTCTTTGGGGCCTTCAGTTTACCCAGAAGTAGAAAGAGGTGAGAGATGGATGGATGATGGATGATGGGTGGATGGTTGGATGGATGGATGGATGATGGGTGGATGGTAGGTGGGTGGTTGGATGGATAAATGATGTATGGTTGGTTGAATGGATGGTAGGTGGATGGTTGGATGCATGGATAAATGATGGATGGATGGTTAGATGGATGAATGGTTGGTTGGATGGATGGTCGGTGGATGGTTAGATGGATGGATGGATGATGGGTGGATGGTAGGTGGGTGGTTGGATAAATGACAGGTGGTTGCTGGGTGAAAATAAAGAACAGAAGCGGTGCCTGTGGGTCGAATCCAGCCTGGCCCCGGCATCCCTGAGCAGCAGCACTGAGGGGCACAGATGCGGCCGGGCTGGACCAGAGCTGCACCCAGAGCTGCAGGGCACCTGTGTGGTGGGGGCAGGCGCTGCCGTTACCGTTACAGTCGGGCCAGGGAGTCCTGGTGGTGACAGATGACCCCAGCTGAGCCTCACGGCCGCTGTCCGGGATGGAGCTCACGGAATCCCACAGCCTGAGACCTGGTCGGGCTGAGCTGGTGACTGTCCCTGGGGTCTGAGCTGCCTATGCATGCCCACCCCCACGACCCCCGGGTGGGCCTGGGAGCCCAGCCCAGGTGAGGACCAGCTCTCCAAGGCCAGGAACCGGTTGGGGGCTGAGTTAGCTCTTGACCGCCATCTCTCGGTTGGCTGCTAACAGCCATTTCCGCATCTACTGAGGCGGTAACGGACATTAGGGTGGCTGATGGCTGTGAGCTTCCTGGGAGGGGCAGCGAGGGTCATCGCTGCTGAAGGCCGGCGATTACACTGCCCTGGGAGCCCGCAAGCCGCCTGCTGGGCACCTGTGTTGGGGGCCCACTGCTGAGGAGTCCTAACTCCCTGGGGTATAAACACGGGCCATTTTTCCAGTCTCTGCACCGTGAGGCCCTGCCTCACCCCTGCACTTGCCCACAGCGGCCCTTACCCTGAGGACGGCTCCCCCTGACTCACTGCTGTTCGATGCTGTTACTCAGGGGTTGGCAAGGCCGGTCGCTGTGTGGTCTCTACACATCGGACTCCCCTGGGGCCCCGAGTGGCATGAACCCACAGGATGTGTCCCCGAGGCCCTGCTTACTCACGGCCCGGCCGTGTGGCAAGGCCTCCCTGCTTAAGGCTGAGATCGCCGGGAGGCGTGGATGGGGGGTGGTGGCGTTTGTCTCTCCGTCCATCCTCCCACACGTGGGCACTCCCGCCTCCGGCTGTCATGAGTGACACTGGGGTGCAGGAGTCTGTTCCAGTCCCCCTCCCACTTTGGGGTGTGTTCCCAGAAGCAGGATGGCGGGGTCACATGGTAGGTCCCTGTAAGCCTTTTGAGCCGCCCCCACACGGTTCCCCACTGCGGCTGCCGTCTCGCATTCCCGCTGGCAGGGCCCAGGCTCAGTGTCCCTGCGTCCTTGCCACACCTGTTCTGTGTTCCATAAAGCCACTCCCACTGGGCGTGCGGGGGCCTCGCGCGGTGCAGAGGGCTGCCAGCCGAGGGCCGCTGCGGTCTCATGGGGGTTTTGTCAGCAGCTCTGGCCACGGGGTGGACGCAGGGAGCCTGGGGCCGGAGGCTGTGGCAGGACATGGGAGAACAGGCATGTGAGAGCACGGGACACGGGAGAACAGGCATGTGAGTGCAGAACACGGGAGAACAGGCGTGTGAGAGCATGGGATGCGGGAGAACAGGTGTGTGAGTGCAGAACACGGGAGAACAGGCGTGTGAGAGCGTGGGATACGGGAGAACAGGTATGTGAGTGCAGAACACGGGAGAACAGGTGTGTGAGAGTGTGGGATGCGGGAGAACAGGCATGTGAGCACACGGGACACGGGGAGAACAGGCATGTGAGAGCACGGGACATGGGGAGAACAGACGTGTGAGCACAGAACACGGGGGAACAGGCATGTGAGCGCACGGGACGCGGGGAGAACAGGCATGTGAGAGCGCGGGACGCGGGGAGAACAGGCGTGTGAGAGCACGGGACATGGGGAGAACAGACGTGTGAGCACAGAACACGGGGGAACAGGCATGTGAGCGCACGGGACGCGGGGAGAACAGGCATGTGAGAGCGCGGGACGCGGGGAGAACAGACATGTGAGAGCGCGGGACGCGGGGAGAACAGACATGTGAGAGCGCGGGACGCGGGGAGAACAGACATGTGAGAGCGCGGGACGCGGGGAGAACAGACATGTGAGAGCGCGGGACGCGGGGAGAACAGACATGTGAGAGCGCGGGACGCGGGGAGAACAGGCATGTGAGAGCGCGGGACACGGGGAGAACAGGCATGTGAGAGCACGGGACGCGGGGAGAACAGGCATGTGAGAGCAGAACACGGGAGAACAGGCATGTGAGAGCACGGGACGCGGGGAGAACAGGCATGTGAGAGCGTGGGATGCGGGAGAACAGGCATGTGAGAGCGCGGGACGCGGGGGGAACAGGCGTGTGAGAGTGAGGGATGCGAGGAGCTGCCCCCCCCCCAGGAAGCTCACAGCTCACACCCCACGGTCCAGACCTGCCAGCCTCGCCCAGACCGTGTCCGTCCTTCCCTGGCCCTTTATTAACGTTGGGGGTGGGAAGGCCACCGCGTGGAGTGGCTCTGCGCTGCGTGGGTTCGGCCGAGCTGAGGCTCAGCCGGGCATGGGTGTCCGGGGACGAGCGAAGGGGTCCCGGAGCCACAGTCAGAAGGACTTCCTACTGACGGCAGAGGGGCCCTCTTCCTTGTAGTCGTCACTGCTGACCCACATGTCCTTGAAGGTAGAGAGTGAGCACAGCACGGAGCCGCCCATCCAGGCACTGTACACGGAGCAGGGGCAGGTGGACACCTGGAGGGGGAGGAGGGGGTGGGGGGCAGAAGGCGGGGTCAGAGGCCAGAGAGCAGGAGAAACCAGAATCGATACTATCCTAAATCAGGGGCACATGTCCAGGCGGCGCAGCTCAGTGGTTGAGCGTCGACCAGGAGGTCACGGTTCGATTCCTGGTCAGGGCACAGGCCCGGGTTGCAGGTTCGATCCCCAGTGTGGTTGTGCAGGAGGCAGCCGATCCGTGATTCCCTCTCCTCATGGATGTTTCTCTCTCTCTCCCTCTCTCTTCCTCCCTGAAATCAATAAAAATATATTTAAAATGAAATAAGTTGGGGGGATCCAGGATTCAGCTACTGACCCAGAAACACTGGATCTAAAGCAGCGCTAATACATGGACTTAGAGGAGCCCTGCTCCTCCCCACGGAAAGCTGAGAGAGAACTACATAACCAAACACCTGGAAGAGAGAGATCATGGGGAGACAAAGAAACAGCCCGCATATGAAAGAAAAACAGGCATCACCAGAAAGGAAGTAAACGAAATGGAGGCAAGCAACCTGTCAGAGAAAGAATTCAGAGAAATGGCCATAAGGTGGATGAAAAGAATGGAAGACAAATTCAACAACATGTGTAAGAACGAAGAGGAAATGAAGAACCAAGAAGAAATGAAAAATGACATCACTGCTATAAAGAACTCAATAGAAAGCATCAACAGTAGACTAGAAGAAGCAGAGGACCGCATCAGTGAGCTAAAAGACAAGGTAGGAAAAAATACGCACGCAGAGCAGCTTCTAGAAAAAAAAAATTAAAGAGCAGGAGGAGAGCCTAAGAGAACTTTGGGACAACACAAAACGAAACAACATCCGCATAATAAGAGGTGCTAGGAGAGGAAACTGAGCAAGGAATAGAAACCTGTTTGAAAAAATAATGACAGAAAACTTTCGATATAGGGAAGAAAAAGCTCACACAAATCCAAGAAGCTCACAGAGTCCCAAACAAAATGAACCCCAAAAGATCGA